TTTTTACTTAGGATTTTTTTCTCACTCCCTTTATATTAAATTCATTATTTTTATGACATTGGAAATCATTTCTGATCATGCAGGGACCACTCAAATGTGTCCTTAACACATGCAAGAAATTATTTACATCTGTTTAACATATGTAAATGAAGGCGTGTCAGGGGAGGTGCCTCACGTGCGCTCAGTTCCAGGTTAATTGTGATGTACAAAATCAATGCACATGGATTCCGGCGTACGCACGGTTTGATACATTTGGATCTTTTGTGCGTACRCTGTTTTCTGGATTTGACCGTATGTCACGTTTCAGTAAGAAATCCACGCAAGTCTTTGCACATGAGGCCCCTGGAGAAAACCCACACCAGAACACGCAAACTCCAGACAGAAAGACCCCGGGCCCAAACTGGGGATTGAACCCAGTACCTTCTCTGGCTGTGAGACATCAGTGCTAACCACTGATCCATCATGCTGCCAGATGATCAGAAATAATATTCCCTAWATTCACCTGCACTTGTATCAAAATAAAAAATAGTGATCTGTAAATCTTTAACACATTTGATATGGGAAAACACATTTTGATTTAACCATTTAATACATATTTAATGTCAAAATATGCAGATTAAATTCATATTACTTTCATCTTATTCCCTTTTAACTGTGCGCTTTGATTATCTTGCTTTTAACTACAAAAATACAAAAGGTTTCTAATTGGACCTGGAAAGTGGTTATATTGATACTAACACTTGTTTGTTCACACACCTGTTCCCTTCATCACTACTTGCTCCTGGTTCTACTTCTGACAATAAATCACATTTTAAATAATTCTCAGGACAAATCTCCCTTTTTACAAAGCCTTTTGATCATCAGCTCAGTTACAGAAATGTACCGAACCATCGCAGAACACTTTTCATTTAAAGCAGGTCTACATCATACTCTCACYATCCATGGACCTCACCGCAAATCACTGCCCCCTTGGATGTTTTATCTTTTTATTGTTGTCATAAATCAATCATAGTCAGTTTAAGTGGGCCTTTTTGTCAAATAAATAAACCCTATGTAATAGCATGTTGAAATTAAATTTCTACTAAATAATGGCAATTTAATAAAAATATGGAATGTAAAATAGATAGATTTGATTTGATTTATTTATTTAACAGGAAAAGATTATTAAAAATCAAGCCTGACTCAGCATAATTGCTGTTTTACAGCAGGTTCCTGTTC